AGGGTGGTTGTGGGGAAAATAGGAGGAGAAAGTTATGTTGGATATGTTCACCACTTTGAATTATTTGTGTGTGTGTGTGTGTGTATAATACAAATAAATAAAATAAAATAAAAATAAATTTATTTGAGAAAGGAGTTGTCTTCCTTAAGGAAAAATACAACATTATGTTTGCAACTAAGAACATAAGAGAATGCAGACATTATGCTGAACCTTTCTTCCTCTCAGGTGAAGAACCTTATGCCTAGCTACCAGTCTAGGTAAGAGAATACTGCTGGATTGTGATTCATACTTCTGCAGTCTCCCACTGCTAAACTCCAACACAATACATCCATTTGCCTGCAAATTGAGAATTGTGTTCAACTCTCTGTGGTTCTGCTATAACAATATCTTCTTGCTGAGAAGCTTTTCCTAACTGCTGAGATGTACAGCACTTAGGCTGAACAAAAAGCAAGTTACCAGCAGTAATTTCAATCCTCACCTTCCACCCCCTATATTCTCACTGAGTTCTACTATAATATAATGTTAAAATACATATCAGAAAGCATATTAGCCCTTGCAATATCTACATTTGTGCTAAATGCAATACTCTTTACTGATATTATAACATGAAGTGACCCTCATGAGTTCTTGGAAGTCTTCAGATGCACTTTGATTTTGCAGAACAACATATCTGCTCATTTTGATAATTTTGTTGCTCTCTGTGACTTCCAATCTTATATGGTACAAAAATTGACATAAGACTGTAGGGGTCGTAATTAAGTTAGCTGGGTTTTAACTTAATAAAATAGAAATAAAAAGACAAGTGGCTTTTTTGTTGTATACCAGGATAACATTGACTGAAATATGCTTCCAAATGTTATGGCTGATGCATGCATACTATGTAGCACATATCTCAGTTATTTGTATCATGAAACAGTTATCCTTTTACGTTCTATGAGCTGGAGGTTTCTGGCTTTTGTTTGGCAGCGCAATTTGTGTTAAAATGCCACGCCAATGCTTTCATGAGCGCAATAATAACTTGAGTTTCATGCTGCATTTTGTCAGCCTGTTCCTAAGCTCTTGTAGCCTGTATTAGCCTGCAATGCTGTCATGAAATCATGGTGTTCGATATTGTTTCAGAGCAACATTTTAATTTCAGCATTCAGTTTAAGGAAAAGCAACATTCCTTAAGAACGTTCCTTGGTCTGTTTATATGCCCCACTGTAACCTTAGAGATAAATCACGTATACAAATAAACCTTTCCTTTTGTGTTCTGAACATTTTGGTAATTTGGCCCCTATCTGAAGAAGATCCTATCCACATATTTATTTTACACAGACGGAGAAAGTGGAAAACTGAAGACAACAAGGGAATCTGGTACAAATCTTTGTTATCCTCTTATTCTCTTGATAGTCTGGAATTTCTCTAACTTGCCTCGAAGTATTGTTTTAAAGGTAAAACAAAATAACCCAAGATAGTCTGACCTGATCTACTTAGATGAAGCCATGATAGAAAGCTACCAATCAATTAATAATACCTACTTAGAAATCATTATGTTTTTGGGATTTCATGTACATGATGACCTGAGTGTACTCTGGATCTAAAGCAATGCTCAGTCCATTGATGTGGGAAATTTTTTTAATACAGTTTGAGAGTCTAGTGTTCAACTTTATTTTGTCAGCATTCCAGTGGCTTATGACAGATGATTTGGAAGAGTAACATTGCAAGAAAAAAGTTATATTCAAGCACCATCAGCTGATTATTTCTCGGTTAGAAAATTTGATTGAATTTTGTAAAAATTTGTAGACAATCTGGAATAGACTACAATATTGAAGAAGCAATATGAAACCCTAAATGTTTGATTCAGTAGATAACATTTATAATTGGTCTCTGAGGAATGCTTTTCTTCAGTTAAATTAAATGAAAGTTAATTTTGTTTCTTTTTTTTTGTCCCTTAAAACTAATGCAGATAGATATAAACAGGTGGGACAATATATCTCCCTCCCTCCTTCCCTCCCTCCCTCTCTCTCTCTCTCTCTCTCTCTCTCTCTCTCTCTCTCTCTCTCTCTCTCTCTCTCGTAGCTATTCTCATTTTTGTTTGAAACCTTCCCTGGGAATATGTGAAACACTGCAAAGTCTCAGTTGTGTTTGATTCCTATGAGCTCATAATATTGCCCATATAGCCTTTTTGTCAACAATATGGAAGTGGTTTGCCTTTTGTTTGGTTAGTCTAACCCTAATTAGCTTTTCAACATCAGTCAACATCAGTTAGGTGCAGGCCTCTAATGAATTAGTTCTAGAATTAGAATTAGTTAGAAAGTCTACCATATTAGATGCTACTGTCTTGTAATTGCTTTTTTCTACGTATTTTTATTCAAATTCTAGTTTTGCTTTGAAGACATATCTCAAAAGAGGGAGAAACTGTTATCTGGGGGTTTAATCAAAGCTTGAAGTCTTGAACTGTTTTTTTCTCCCTAAATGAAATAAATGGTTAAATTTAATTTTGTTCCACTCAGTACAATAAAACAACGTTGTTACAAAGAACTGTGTTTTAAAATCAGAGGTCATTTCAGTCCTAAACGTGCCAAAGAGAATAATTGGATACTTGATACTTTGAAACAAAATCAAGGGAACAAAATAAACATGTTTCTGATTACTCAGCACTAATGTTGTATTCTGTCATTATAGTAGATTGCTTAATTGTGCTGCTGATTACTTTTCCTGAATTCCTCACAGCGATGCCATTTCTGCACCAAATGGTGGAAGCACTAATTAGCAAGAGGAATGTTGCCTCACATTTTGTTTTGGCCTTGTATACATGTTTAAAGGATGAAAAAAATATGGAATTTGTCTAGTTCTCCATTATGGCTTGTTTGTGTAACCTATCTCACTTGCTATTCTCTCCTCTTTGGATACTGTCAAAAGCAGAGACCAGAAAGTTTGCCAAACAATTGAAACATTCTTAGAACATAAGTAAACAATGTTGAGCCCATCCAAATGAGGTCATCTGGTACCTTGGCTTTCCTTCTTATTCAGCAGCTGCATAGCTACTTCATTGGCTTGATGTTGTACAAGGCAAGACAATACCTGTTTGTTTCTCAGTGTACACAAGTTAATGCCTCTCTAAACTGCACAGCTCCACAGCACAGTAATTGTACTTTGCACAATTCAACATTACTTCCTTAATGACCCATCCGTGCATAATTTGAGGCATTTTACCTTGAATTCTAGTCATTGGTAGGTCCTCTAAATCTGCTTTGAGATTCCAGCGTTGGAATAGTTTATACACATGTACACAAAACATGCATTCAAATGCATAGACATCTTATGCCCAAAGGCTTCAGCTTTGTTAGAATTAATTTGACAAGCTAAAGACATAAAATACCTTCCCATTAGGGTGTCCTGCTGATAGCCACCTGGCTCATTTGCTATAGGATGCTTTATTGTGCTATCATTACAATTTTGTTTTATTTTTTTTATCATGCTAAGTAAAAGGAAGAAGCACATTATTCATAACTGAGGAATGTGGTAAATTGCAGTGGTCATTTACAGGAAAATTCAGGATAAAGATTGCATGAGAAAAGTACTTTGATTTAGATTAAAAAATACCCTCCCAATTTTGAGGAATGAACTTAATCTTTCTCTTAATGGACTTAATCTGCAGAATATATATTTTTTAAATTGCTTATGATTCATCTTTCAGAGATAATACCAAAAAAGATCTCTTCCCCCAACTAGCACAACCTTTTTTCTAGTTCTTTTATCTGGGAGCATATGTTGAAAAATAACCAATTATCCATTCCTAAATAGATGCGGAAGAATTTCAAGGGGCACCACTTTTTCCACCACCATGGGAAAGGTACAGTTATTATCCCAATAGAAATTTGGGAGAAATGAATATAAATAAAGGAATACAACAGTAATTCCCGTTGAAAGAACTTCTGAGCAAGCATTCAGAGTCTATGCATTTAGTCTTAAGGATCCTCTTTATCCATGACTTCCTCAATTGAATTTAAGTGTCCCCCCTTTTAGCTGAATAGAAAGAAAGAAAGAAAGAAAGAAAGAAAGAAAGAAAACCAAAAGAAGAAGAACATACAGGTTCAAGTCAAGCCCAGCTTGCTGTGCCAATCGGTGGGATTCAAAAACTTTTACTACCAGTTCCGTGGGTGTGGCTTAGTGGGCATGGTGTGGCTTGGTGGGAGTGATGGGGGAAGGATACTGCAAAATCTCCATTCCCACCCCACTCCTGGGGGAAGGTTACTGCAAAATCCCATTCCCTCCCCACCCCATTAATCTGCTTTTCAGCTCTGTTCTCCTGTGTAGGGCAACAAAAGAAGACCCAGCAGATCAGCTGGGACTCAATGGGAGGCAGAGAATAGATGGGAGTGGGGCCAATCAGAGGTGCTATTTGCCAGGTCTCCGAACTACTCAAAATTTCTGCTACCTGTTATCCAGAACTGGTCAGAGCCTGCTGAATACCACCTCTGGTGCCAATCAGTAATCATTCAGAAGTAACAGTAGGTTGGACTAGAAAATATGGACAGCAGTCATATTTTTATATATAGTTGTCAGGGATTACCTAGCTCCCATGTATAAGAGTGCAACCATAGTTGCCATATAAACATCTGGAAAATCTGATTGGATCTGGACCTGATCGTTATATAAGTGTCACAAATAGAAAGGAAGAGTATCGTGGATAATTGTCACTCTACATTTTCTTAATGATTGAGTCCAAATCTAGGCATAAGGCTCCCTTCTTGGACATTTATGAAGGCAGTTGACTTTTTTGAGGATATCTGTGTAGCAGGATGGAGTAAGCATACTGAGTTGTATTATGGATCAGAAGCAGTTGCACATTCATTCATCCAAAGCCAGCCACAAGGTAAAGGTAGGCTTGTATCTTACATACCAATGCATCAACATGAGTGACTTCTGTTGTTGGGCTATTGATTATTGTCTTGTGACCATGATCATTAGATCAATCTGCAGTGGATAGCTGTGGGACCAAACAATCTAATAGTCTGAACTGCATTTTATGTTAATCAAACTATACCATTAAAATATCCTTAACAGAAGATAGGAGGATTGCAGCATTTAAAATGCAGAACTGTTCTTTCTATCAGAATGTTCATTTATAAATGCCTATTTCAGGAAACTAAAAGTTTGTCCTCTAATTACCCCATAAAATATAGAAATTGGATGTGTAAAGGTAGTGTTGTTTATTGCCACAAGAAAAATAAAAAAATATAAAAGACAAATCCAATGCATAAATAGCATACTGATAGCTGGTGGGTTACATTTAGAGTAGTGCTCCATTCACACACAGAGAGAAAGAGAGAGATGGCTCCATGTATCCACTCAGCATTCTACTGACAGGTGACAGAAATGCAATATATTATAACAAATACGGCTGTTAAATTTCAGGCCCTTTGTGTCCATCTAAGACAACAATCTAAGAAACCCTGTTTTCAGTACTGGTACTCCTTAGTTAACTATGGTATTTGGGACTGGAATTGCCATTGCCAAGGGATGCAGTTGCAACGTGGCCATCACATGACTGTGCAATGTCAGTCTCAATTGCTGTCATAAGTATTATGTGCATTGAGTTACACAAAGATGTCACATGATTATGACTTCCAACTTCCTACTGGCTTCCCCATTGACTGCTTGGAAGGGTATGTTGGAAATTGCAATTACCTGACTGCAGCTCACTGCAACATTGTAAGTGTGAGCTTACAAAACACCAGTTACAAAACACCAGTTCAAATTTTGCAAGGAATCTCATTCCAGAGAGCAGGCACTGCTGCCAGGCAAGGGTAACTTCCTGAGCCCCATTAGATGGCATTGTTTAATTGAAGCAATCCAGAGCATGGCAAGGCTTCCAAATTGGATCAACCAGGAAAACATGAGGTCTCCCAAGTAACCAGACCGTTTCCATTACCAGACTTTTTATATATTGTGGCCAATACTTTGAATCATACCTGGAAATAAACTGGTAACCACTGCAGCTTGCAAAGCATGTCCATCGTCTATCACTGTTTGTACCTCTATATTGTTAGAATAGAGTGGAAGCTTCTAGGTGATCTTCAAGGGCAGTTCCATGTAGAATTCATTGAAGTAGTCAAACCATGAGGTGATCAGGGCATGAGTGACTCTGAACGGCCTCCAATCTAAGAAAGGGCACAACTGACACAACAGATGAAGCTGTGTAGAGGCCTTACTAGCCACAGCCACCACCTGCTCATTAAAAGGAGTTGTGAGATGAAAATACTCAACCAAGCAGAACTTTTTTGACTCATTATCTATTTAAATGAAGAAACAAACCAGTATTGCAGATGTTACATATAGTTGCTATCCTGTTATGCACCCTTTCTTTGTTCTTGGGTATGGTTTATTAAAGAATATCTTCCTGTGCTGTGTCTAGGCTGTTCCCTACCATGGTTGGTCCTGTGAGGCAGTTGTACAACAGCAGATTCAAATGTCCACATATTATAGGTATACATTTTTTTTTCTTTTTACAACCCTGTCAATCCTTAATTCAAGGTAAAATCAGGGTGACTGATGGAGCTGAGTGTTTACTGGCCAGATGCCCTTCCTGATGCCTATATGAAGTTCACAGCAGATTTTTTTTTCTTTGCCTCCTAAGACAGAAACATCTGCCACTACCCAGGATTGAACTCAACCTTCCGAATGGGAGGTGAGCACTTCACCATTAGGCCACCATACCACTATATTATAGCTGTGAAATAGGACATAGAAATCAGAAAACAAACCTCAGAAAGCAAATCTTTTCCCTAAGTGCTTATGACGAACATTTGTAAATAATGAATTAATTTTGACTGGAGAATTCGCCCTTCATAGTATAGCAGTCCTGTCTAAATTTGTTAAGCAATTGGATGAGTTACCTAAGGAAAGGACAATATCATGCAAAATGGAACAAGGAAAACAACTTTCTACAGCCAATATGGCCAATGATGAGATTTAAATTATTTTACTACCAGTTCTGTGGGTGTGGCTTGGTGAGCGTGGCAGGGGAAGGATACTGTAAAATCTCCAGTCAGAGATGGTATTTGTCAGTTCTCCAAACTACTCAAAATTTCCACTACCGGTTCTCCAGAACTGGTCAGAACCTGCTGAATACCACCTCTGAATACGGCCCCAGGAAAGCCTATATTTGAAAGGCCTGCAGGCCCAATTCATGGACAGCTGATGATCGTGACAATTTGTTGCCAACTCTGAATACATATCCCTTCAGAAATATTTGATTTTTTTTTTCCTTTTAAATTGTTCCTTCAAATAGTGATAGACAATAGCAGGTGGGTGTCCTTTAAACAATTCATGATTCCATTCCCAGGAGGTGGAGGGAAAAAGGAGTTTCACGGTTGCAATATTGGAACTGAATAATGCTTGGCTATATTAATCTGAAGTGCACAGTGGGGAATATAGTAATATTTCTATCCTCCTTGTTACATTACATGTAAGAATTTTATATGCTCTTTTGCTGGCCTGGACTGTAATAATATGGGATGCTTCTTAATTTTCTTGATCTTTTCTTTAAATTCTGGATCCCTTCCTGATATAGTTCAGTGAAATACATGCTATTATTAATTTAATTAATTTTTATTTTATTTGTTAAATTTATTCGCCACCTATTTCACTGTGGGGCTACTCTATAAATGACACAGTTTGATAACATTTTGGTTCAGGTTCCTTGTATTTCGAACTATTACTTTATTGTTGGAAGAAATGTACAAAGATAAATTGTTATTTTAAAGTGTGCATACAAAGTTAAAATGTCCGTATCCAATCAACTTCTATCTGTCAGAATGTTTGTGGTTTTGCTAAAGATAGGACAGGAAGGAAGAAGGCATTTTTTAAAAAGACAATATTAAAAGTGTTGTTCCCATCCTTTAAAAAAGGCACACATTATGCAATATTCAGATTTTGAAGGAAAGAAGAAGAGTTCTTTCATTGGGTTTGGAAATCTCATCTTCCAATTTCTTCCAACTCATATTCCCCTCCTATAGACTAATATGTTGGAGGGCACAAACATCTAAAGTTAAATGCTATGATACTAGATTTCTCTGGTAAATTCCAATCTGACGGTTGCAAAGTGGGGTGGCAAAACAGCAGTGATTGATTGATTGATTGACTCATTAAATAATTGATCAATTATGTGCCATCAGATTGTTTTTTGACTCCTAACAATAGATTTTCTCCATGAAAAATCCTTGCTAGCGAGGATTTATAATCCTCATAGTGAAGGTACGTTTTCTGTACATAGACAGTCCTGCGAACAATTAACCTGTGGAATGGCTTTCCTTCAGAATTTGTGAGTGCTCCATCACTGGAAGCTTTTAAGAAGAGATTGGACAGCTATTTCTCTGAAATGGTATAAGGAATAAGGTCTCCTGTTTGAGCATGGGTCTGGACTAGAAGACTTCCAAGATCTCTTCCAACTCTCTTATTCTATGCTCTACTGTTTGAGAATAGGGTAGAGGGCTTATAACATCTTGTACTTTGCTTCTTCCTATCATGTCCACTTTGTAGTTGTTGGATATTTCTCTGGCATTGAATTTTGAAACCAGGGGACAGGAAAACTTCTCAAACATCGATTTCTTTGTCAGGTTCTGAGTTCCCAGCTTATCATGGTGATCTATAGTATGTATCAAATTACATCTGAGTCAATGCTAGGGCTACAAGACTGCATGCTAAGATTGTGTACCATCAGAGAAGGTAAATGGTCCAGCTAGTTCCCACTTTCCCTCCAGTTATTGTTCCCACAAGAAAGAGCAATATATATTTCAAAAAGGCTTATCTAAATAAACTCCATTAAAGAAAATGGGATTATTCAGGGATTTTATCCCTCTGTTCCCTCAACTACTAGAACTATGTTATTCAGATGTATGTCAATTAATGAAGATAGGGGAGATCAAAATAGCTTAAAAATAATTTACCTACTGTGAATTGTGGTATTGGATCAATGTGAGACATGACAGTCAATTACCCTTTTGCTTTTTATTTTGTCTTTTACAATTACTTGAGATCAATATTTTCAGTCTCAGATGATAGAAAATGTCAGCATTTTTGGCTTGGTGTAGACCGACTGCTACCTTATGCTGAAATAACTATCAGAGTCTTTAACTACTGTGTTTCTCCAACAATACGGCCTCCCCCAATAGGAAGTCCCAGCATGTTTTATAGGCATAAAATAAAATTAAGCCCCTCCCCCCAAATTAAGGCCTATATTAAACATGCGAAATGGGGGGAAATGGTGGGGGGGCTTGCCGTTAGGAAGTACTTTTGTTGCATACCCGGATATGGTGCTGCCTGCATTGACTTCGACGTTGGTGGGGCACTTCGTATCGGGAGACCTTCCACCACCGTTGCTTTCCTTTCTCCCCATGCTGCAACGCCGCGGCATTTGGCACAGCCACACGTGGCCAGCCAGGGCTCCCTCCTGCAATCAGCCCGGCGGACACACTCGGCTTCAGGCGCTCCTGTCACCGCCTTCCCTTCACCTTCGAAGGCAAAGCCAATTCTTTTAAAAACAAAGCCCTACTACTGGTACGACAAAGACTCCCCTGCCCAAGAAGGCAGCCCAACCCCACGTGAGGAGGTGAATCTCCCAGGGCCACAGCGCAGGATCAGCCCACCCTGGGAGAAGCGACCAGCCGCCATCCCTGCCTGGCACTGGGCACAGCACGAAGAGCTTCGCCTGGGGCGCCCAGTGCAGCTGACAGGCTGGCCCTCCTGCCCGGTGGTGGAGCTCTCACCAAGGCAGCGAACATCTCCACTCATCCCGCTAGGGCCATGCCAGGGCCATGCAGGCTGGGCAGAGCCGGGAAAGCGAGCCACGGGTATGTGTCCGCCTGCCAAGCGAAAGAGCTGGGCCAACCTGAGCTTGACTTCCTTCCCAAGTCCCTCCAGCCTGAACCCAAAGGGGCCACTGGGAGAGGCTTCCCAAGGCAGTGATAGCGCCCACCCATCCGCGGATAGGGAGACGAGGTGATGGCAGTGCTGCTTCCCTGCCAGCAGGTCCGGCAGAGAGAGCCCGAATCCACCCGTCCTTTCCACCCCTTGCCCAACCCGCCCCCATCCCCACGCATCTTCAAATGCGCTGGCAGCTCCAAACACAGCGGCACGAGCATCGGGCAGAGGCGCTCGACGGGGCTCAGCTCGGAGGAAGCGGCGCCTTGCCTCCCTGTCCACGGATGGGTAGGCACTATCACTGCCTTGGGCAGCCTCTCCCGGTGGCCCCTTCGGGTTCGGGTCAAAAAAAAAAAGGCCCGGCCTGATTTTGTGAGAAACACGGTACTGATTACATTTCTGATAAGCTATGCAGAACCAGTGCCACAAAAAATTTCAGCAGGACTGCATGTCAACAATCAAATCAGTTCAGCATGAATGGAAAAGAATACTAATGTATGTCAACAATCACTAGGACATTTGATAAAAAATATTAATTATAACATTATTTTAAAATATAGAGTAAAGAAAAGAGAGTCTTGAAAATGTGGCAGTCCCTAACATTGTGACTGGAACTTAAAGATATATTTGGGGAATCATGAATTCTTCTGGTTAGTGAAGCCATGCAGAAATGTTTGGAAAGCAAGGGTTTGTAGTTTTCTCCTTATGTTCAGTTTAAGCTGAAGTTCTCCAAGATTGAACCTTAGGTTTATAGCAGGATGAGGGGGGGAAAGGATATACACTGCTCAAAAAAATAAAGGGAACACTTAAACAACAATGTAACTCCAAGTCAATCCCACTTCTGTGAAATCAAACTGTCCACTTAGGTAGCAACACTGATTGACAATCAATTTCACATGCTGTTGTGCAAATGGAATAGACAACAGGTGGAAAGCATAGGCAGTTAGAAAGACATCCCCAATAAAGGAGTGGTTCTGCAGGTGGTGACCACAGACCACTTCTCAGTTCCTATGCTTTCTGGCTGCTGGTTTGGTCACTTTTGAATGCTGACGGTGCTTTCACTCTAGTAGTAGCATGAGACGGAGTCTACAACCCACACAAGTGGCTCAGGTAGTGCAGCTCATCCAGGATGGCACATCAACACGAGCTGTGGCAAAAAGGTTTGCTGTGTCTGTCAGCGTAGTGTCCAGAGCATGGAAGCGCTACCAGGAGACAGGCCAGTACATCAGGAGACATGGAGGAGGCCGTAGGAGGGCAACAACCCAGCATCAGGACTGCTACCTCCACCTTTGTGCAAGGAGGGACAGGAGGAGCACTGCCAGAGCCCTGTAAAATGACCTCCAGCGGGCCACAAATGTGCATGTGACTGCTCAAACGGTCAGAAACAGACTCCATGAGGGTGGTATGAGGGCCCGATGTCCACAGGTGGGGGTTGTGCTTACAGCCCAACACCGTGCAAGACGTTTGGCATTTGCCAGAGAACACCAAGATTGGCAAATTCGCCACTGGCACCCTGTGCTCTTCACAGATGAAAGCAGGTTCACACTGAGCACATGTGACAGACATGACAGGGTCTGGAGACGTGGAGAACATTCTGCTGCCTGCAACATCCTCCAGCATGACCGGTTTGGCAGTGGGTCAGTAATGGTGTGGGGTGGCATTTCTTTAGGGGGCCGCACAGGCCTCCATGTGCTCGCCAGAGGTAGCCTGACTGCCATTAGGTACTGAGATGAGATCCTCAGACCCCTTGTGAGACCATATACTGGTGCGGTTGGCCCTGGGTTCCTCCTAATGCACAACAATGCTAGACCTCATGTGGCTGGAGTGTGTCAGCAGTTCCTGCAAGACGAAGGCATTGATGCTATGGACTGGCCCGCCTGTTCCCCAGACCTGAATCCAATTGAGCACATCTGGGACATCATGTCTCGCTCCATCCACCAACGCCACGTTGCACCACAGACTGTCTAGGAGTTGGGGGATGCTTTAGTCCAGGTGTGGGAGGAGATCCCTCAGGAGACCATCCGCCACCTCATCAGGAGCATGCCCAAGCGTTGTAGGGAGGTCATACAGGTACATGGAGGCCACACACACTACTGAGCCTCATTTTGACTTGTTTTAAGGACATTACATCAAAGTTGGATCAGCCTGTAGTGTTTTTTTCCACTTTAATTTTGAGTGTAACTCCAAATCCAGACTCCCATTGGTTGCTAAATTTGATTTCCATTGATAATTTTTGTGTGATTTTGTTGTCAGCACATTCAACTATGTAATGAACAAAGTATTTAATCAGAATATTTCATTCATTCAGATCTAGGATGTCCTATTTTTGTGTTCCCTTTATTTTTTTTGAGCAGTGTATATTTTATTTTGGATTATCCTTTGCGGAAATATGATCCATGGATGCCAGGTTCCTAATATAGCGTGGGTGTCAAATTCACGGCATCGCGTTGCTGTCATGTCACATTTCGTGATGTTTTTTCCCTTTGCAGAGCTGGTTTGGGCGTGGCCTGCATGTGACACATCCTTCCCATGGGCCACCAGTTTGACACCCCTGCTATATAGGTGATATACAAAGATCAAAAATAGAAAGATAAAGAAAAATAATAATTTAAATATATTTTCAAAATTATAAAATGAAAGAGTTTGAACACACAGAAAAATCTGCATAATTGTCTGAATACAAAATACAGATACAACATATAACCCAAAAACGTTTCCAGTTTGGTTATTTTTCTATAATTCTGGTTATATTGCTGTCAGCTACTCCAGAGTTGCCTGAAATGCAAGATAGGAGGCAAATAAATTTGATTAAAAAAATAAAATAAATACATTATCAGTATCCGAACAAGAATTATGAATTATTTTCCGACAATTAAAAATGGTCTGTTTTTAGTTATATATTGAATTAGCATTTTGAGAATAGAACCAAGGGGATTTTAAGCATGAAGAGAATGCAGTTTAAAAGGCATAACTCACATCACAACAAAACAATCAACTGTGGAAAAATATGATCCCACATAGAATCAAAATAATATGTAATTGCTTCTTCTGTGACTTCTCCAAGCAATATTCCAACCTGACTATCCAAGAGCCTTTGAAACATATTCTGTTTCACACTTTGCTTACGTTAATGTTCAGATGCTTCAACCCTGATATTAATAGGGATTAAGCATGAGCAATCAGACAACTATGTGGAAATTACCAAGCATTGACAACCTGGGTTCATTTTAGTACATTTAACAACAGTTCATTCTTTACAAATATTTTTCTATAAAGATGCAGCTGGCAAAATTGAGCTCCAGAGAAACAATCTATTTAATTTAGATTAAGTAGGTAGTCCTCAACTTACAACCATTCATTTAATGACCGTTCAAAGTTACAACAGCACTAGAAAAAGTGATTTATGATCAGTTTTCACACTTATAACATCCCCATGGTCATATGATCAAAACTCAGATGCTTGGCAACTGGCATGTATTTATGACGTTTGCAATGCCCCAGGGATCCTTTCTGTGACCTTCTGACAAGCAAAATCAATGGGGAAGACAACTTCATTTGACAATCATGTTACTGACTTAACAACTGCAGTGATTCACTTAACAACTGTGACAAGAAAGATCATAAAATGGAGCAAAATTCACTTAACAATGGAAGTTTGGGGTTCAATTGTGGTGGTAAGTAGAGGATTACCTATAATTCTATAATCAACACCCTTGTCGATTTCTGTGGTTGCTGGTGTCATTAAATAATATCAGCCCCAAAAGGTTGACCAATAGCAATAGCACTTAGACTTACATAATGCTTCACGGTGCTTTACAGCCCTCTCTAAGCGTTCTACAGATCCAGCATATTACCCCCAACAATCTGGGTCCTCATTTTACCGACCTCAGAAGGATGGAAGGCTGAGTCAACCTATTGACCTATGAAATCCATTCTCACTGAATTATTGTGTGAGGTTATATTGCAAAGTCTTTATACCTTTCCAAATAATAAATAGACATATAGAAAGTATCATCCACAATACACAGTCTCTCTGTCTGCCTATCTAACTGTCTATGTATCTGTTTCTTTCTTTTTCTCCTATGAGTTTTGTTTGGCTATTCATAATGCTATTATCACAGAACTGTTTGCTCTATATTATCCCTGCCTTGTATTGGTGGGTTCAATAATCTGAACAATTATACAAAAAGGAGTATGCAAAGACAAAGGAAGAT